GAATGGGCTGGTCACTATAAGCACTGGGAGAGTAGATTATTTTCAATGTTCTCAACCGATGCCTCAAATTTACTTATTAGAGGCTACAGGTTAGGTCACCCCAGAAGGTGGAGGGTAATGTCATTAGGCTCTGGGTCTCTGCCATTTTTGATAATGAGTATCATATTATCAATATTATGCTTGGTATGAATAATAGGGGTATCACTGTCGTCGGTATGGCTGACACCTGTATTGTTTCTTCTTTGGCATAAGTGTTTGTATGCCCAAGCATCTCAGGGTTGCTCAAGAGTCCTTCATAGAATGGAGGACATCATTGGTGTTGGAAGCGAAGAGCTTGTGCCCATCAAATGGAAGATCCTCTACTGCAATGAAGATTTCCCTTGGAAAGGAGGAAGATGAGAGCCAGGCTACATGACGCATGATGACTGCTGTGGCTATGGACCTAATGGCTATGTCTATGATGTCTAGTGAGGCCTGGAACACTATGCAGGATATTAATTGGCCTTCAGAGACCAGTGCCTGCAATTGATGACACGCCTCAAATCAAGAAACAACAATAAAAGTTTGTATTTTGGAATAGTTTCTGTGGTTGTATTTTGCTAACAGTGCCATGTAATTGGCCACCCTGAACTGCAAGGTGGAGAAGGAGTATACTTTCCACTCAAATCCTTCCATCCTTTTATTATCTTTGTTGGATGAAGTAGTCTTGAATTGTTGGTGTTGTTTGATATTCTGTTAACTGCTTCCACTACTAGCAAGTTGGGAGCAGGATGGGTGTAGAGGAATTCGGAGTCCTTAGAGGGAACAAAGTACTTCTGGTCCATGCGCTTGGTTGTGGGTGCAATGGAGGCAGGGGTCTGCTATATAGTTTGTCCAGGCTGCAGGACAGCTGAATTAATGGGAAGCGCTATTTTGGAGGTAGCAGCGGCTTGCAATGTATCTGTGAGCTCATGTTGGTTATCCAAGACTTCCTCCAAAGCAATATAGAGGTCATCCACCACTCTCTTAAGGAGGTCCTGACAGTGGGAGAATTCATCCATGGATGTGGTGGGCAGTTTGATTTGTTGGGATAAAGGGGGTGCCCCAGTGGCCACAGGTGAATTATCCATTTAATTTCTGTTGTATGTCCCGTATAGGTTCAGTATTAGAGTCCACCTCCACTTGAAGGGTTGGCGAGGGAGCGTTGTGGACTTGCCTCCCTGTAGCAGGATGATTAGTATGTTGTGCTCTGTAGTGTTCCTATTTACACCAGTATGGCAGGTAGCCAGCGGATGGTATTGGTGATACCATCCAGGGGTGGGCATACCACGGATATTGTGTGACAGGTGTATTTTGCCTGCATAGGTCCCTATACTCAGGCGGGTAACAGGGTGGAGAAAGGTCTTTGTTCTCCAAGCCATCTTCCTCCCCACTGGAAAGGCAGGGAGAAGTTGTGAGGGACTGGCAGTATTGTGCTTGTGGCTCTGATGAAAAATCCCCATCCAGAAGGGGAGACCCTGGAAAGGAGAAGACTGTGAGATCAACTGCACTGTGGAACTGGTGCTGAGTAGGGATGTTAAATATCAGTCAATTGAATAGTTGAGTAACCTCATGAATTCTTAACGATTAGCTGACCATTCTATAGTCCCTGGGGGCATGGCCAGCAGCCAGTGCACTCTGGCCTCACTCCCAAGAAGACCCCTGACACTCAGTGCTGCTGCCTCTGTATCAGAGACAGTAGCAATGGGGTGCCAGGTGGTAGCAGGTCTGCGAGGGGAGTCAGTTTAAAACCCAGCTCCCCTTGTGGATCTGTGCTACTTCCTCTGATAAAGAGGCAGTGGCATGGGGTGGCAGCAACCCCTGTGTAGGGCATGGTCTGAGCTCCTAGACCCGGCACAAGCTGGAACTGAGTTGGACTGCTGGTCAGCCAGCTAAAAATTTACTAGCAAGAGGGGACGGGGAGGACAGGAGAGGAATTGCATGTAATCTATAGCATTAACCAATAAGCAAAAGCTTCTAGGTTAATCGACTACACTTTTACATCCCTAGTGCTCATCAGAGCCAAACTTCAGTATATGTTCTGGTGCAGACTGGGACTGCAGTGCTGTGGTGAGGTGAGCTAGTGACAGCACCACGGAAAGTGAGGAGAGTGTTGGTGCTGAGGAAGGAAGTGCTGCTTCTGCTGTTTGAACAGACACCGGGGTTACTGAGGGGACCGTGGATGCATTTCAAGAGGCAGGCAGCTGAAAGCCCTTTGCCTCAGCACCTTGTAAAGCGGCTGCCACCTCATGGTGGGTCCAGAGGTACTTGCAGAGTCAAAAGTGCTCAGCCGTAGAGTGGCTGACACTGAAGAGACTGAAAGTCTGTGTTTCTTCAATCTGCCTGGGAAAGTGGAGGAAGCAGGTCTTTTCCTGGACTTGAAGATTTTTTGCTGAGACACTGCAGAGTTTTGTTCAGTGTCTGAGGGAGTCCTGGAGCAGTGACAGCATCAGACGCAGCTCCCTGTCCTTCCAAGTCCACGCTTTTAATTTGACAGTCAGAGCATTTTGGGGGGACATTAGACTCCCCCAAACATCTGACACACTGAGTATGCCATCAGACACAGGGATGGCCTCTTTGTAAGAGGAACACCTCTTGACACCAGGAGAGCTTGGCATGTTGAAATGGGGAGGTTTTTGTTTTTTTAAAGAGGAAGAAGATACTAACTATCTGTCTATATGTTAACTGTAACTATGTATAACTAAGAAACTATGTTGCTGAAGTGGGCAGCATGACTGCAGTACTCCATCTCTGGCCGCCGACGGTAGCAAAGGAAATAAGGAGCCCGGACTGTGCATGTGCTATTTATACTCTGACAGCTCGTCAGGCAGGCAAAGCACATGCACAGCCCAGGGGGCAAGGATATTGCTGAGAAAATCTCCGATCAAAGGCGCTAGGATGCGCCTTGACCTGAGTGGAGCACACACAGGGACATCTCTGAAAGGAGAATACTGTAGTTACTTTAAACTTGGCTTAACTTGATAAAATTTAGGAATTAGACAGTGATTTTACCTATTATTTCCTTTTGTAACCAATTCTGGTCTTTTATGCCTATGCCACTTAAGTCACTCAAAATCTATTTTTGCATGTCAATATACATATTTTAATGTGTTCTCTAAGCCAGTGCATTTTGACTTAAATTTGGGGAATCTATTCCAGTTACACAGAAGACCCTGACCAGTGTAAGATGCACATTTCAGGGGTGCAAGGTTGGGGCTGAGGGATATGTGGGTGTTGCCTAAAATGAGTGGCTGAGCATTTTATTCTGGTAGTTGTTCAGGGTTGACTAGAGGTTGGGTTGAGTGGGATGAGCAACAGCTCACTTGAAAAGCAGGTCGTAGGGCACTCCAAACTGGTCAGTTAAGGGGGAACAATGATTCAGCAGTCCAGATTACATACTGAGATGTCTCACAATTAGTAATATATGTATGTAGGAAACCACAGGGCTAGAATCTGAGACCATAGGGGTTCTGGACTGCTGACACCTCCGCGTCGCTATAAGGGGTAGGTGAGCAAAGAAGGATCCTGCAAAGCTAGACTCATCAGGAAGTAGGGATGTAAGCGACTAGTCAACTATCTATTAAGCATAAGCCTATCAGATAGTTGAGTGGTGTCTCTACTAGTCACTCCCCTCCCCCCACTCGCTGCCTCTATTAGAGGCAGACTCTTAATGCATTTAAAAGGCCTAAGTGCAGTGAGGGAAAGCAGGTGCTAGCCGGGAATCAGCTGTCCTGGCTCACATCTGATCCCCTGCTGCACTTCAGCCTTTTAAATATATTAAGAGTCTGCCGGCTCTTAATACATTTAAGAGGCAGAGCTGCAGCAGGGTTAGCTCCTGGGGCTAGTTTCCCCTGCTTACTGACTAATTGACTAGTCGATGGAAATTCTATCGACTAGTTGATTAGTTGATTAAGTGCAATTTAACATCCCTAGCAGGAAGTACCGTCCACAACGTCTAAACAGAGGCTTCTCTCACCAAATAATTGGCCAATACCAGGATATAAATTAGGAGCCCATGATGGGAAGCTGAGTAACTTCACTATTGGACTGCTGTCTATAACCTGGTACCCAACCCTAATTCCTTGGTATCCTGAACTAGCTCTGATCTGCTATCTCCCTGCTACCTGCAATCTGGTGACCAACCGTGACTTCCAAGCATTTTGAGCTGGCTTGCCTTGCTATTGTCCCCAGTCACCACTCAGCAGTTGAGTAGGCATACTAGAATTCGTAGCTCAGCCCTGACAGTTTAGTTAGTACTTCCTCAGGGCAGACCTGCAATATATAGTTCCCAACTTTACTGGCCTAATACTGTAGGACTATATACACCATGTGTCCCATTGATTAATAGCTGTAAAAAGTACCTATAGCAAGTAAGCCTCTTCTAATTCCTACTAACAAACTTTAAAAATTTATGTACAATCTATGGCAAAAGGAAAAACATAGCAAAAAGCACATTTTTCTTCTGATATTTCTTTCAATTACAGTATTTTCCACCCAAAAAATTCACAACTAAATCTAGGGTTGCTGGCCTCTACTTGTTTCAAACACACACAGCTCCTCAGAATGGCAGGGGAAAAAACAACGAAAAACAGTTCACTGCATTCATTATCCATCATCAACTACAGTGTGTACATGTATGTGTGTAAAGAAACAGCAAATATTTTCTTCCAACTCATACATATCTGAGCTGGATAAGACAAAATAGGAAACTTAGTTCCCCCCACTTCCAATACAAGACTGTTGTACATCTGTTGTCCCTAGGGATGAGAAAATGCCAAACCCCCAATTATTTTGGATGAACACGGTATTAGTAATGTTTAGCTATGTACTGTATTTAACAGGGGAAAAAAAACAGATTGACAGAATAACTGTAAACTTAAAAGGAGAGACTATGCCTACATGTAATTCCTGACCTTCTTTCACCCTAAAAGTTCCTAAATTCTCACCAAAGGTTATAACTTTACTTGCCTTTCCATTCTTACCAATTTTTAAGTCGTTAGTCAGACTGTGTTTTGTAAGACTCAGCAGCTCTTTGCCATCAATATTATGCATCTTGAAAATGCCAACAAGGTCTTTTAAACCTTGTGCACAAAGCCAGACGGAGACTTCTTCCTCTGACCAGTTCTCAACAGACATCTTTGGTTCATCTTCTAGTAAACTCCCTTGAGAAAAAAAGAGAAGGTAAATTTGAAATAAAAAAATAAACTGAACTGCTCTTATGTACTGAAAGTTTATTTTGTATAACTTCATTACATAGCTTTTATGAGCTGGAATGTTTATTTTCGGACTTATTTTGTCTATATTAATTAGCAAATAATTTTTTGTTCATACTGAGAACTCTGCTTGTAATTCACTTCTGTTTCTCTCATTATCTGTGTACAAATGTTACTGGTAAAGTCTGCACTGCTCTGGGAATAGTATTTGTCAGTTAAGTGCTGCCCAGAGAGTAAGAAAAAGGGATGCAAGAGAAAACACTCCCTTTGTTTGGGTCTAACAAGTCCTTAGAGAAAGCTTGATGTATTTAAAAGATTTCTTCTCTCTTTTCCAAAATACAGGACATTTCCCCATAGTGAATAACAATTTTAAGGAAGATCAAATGTTGGGACTCTACTATTTAAGATTACACATTAAGCACATAATACAGTAAAGCATCTTGTAGCATCTCCCAATAAGTTTACAACTGTATCATACCTGAGGTATAAAAAGAGTATTAAAAATGAACGTACTTACCTGTACAGTGTTGCTTTGGATCAAATTGCCAGATATTCACTGTTTTATCCATTGAACCTGTTGCAAGTAATGGAATATCTGGTGCAAAGGCACAAGTTGTAACATATCTAGAAAAAAAACCAACCAAATCAATAATTTAAATTTAAAATCATGCATTAATTACTTTCCTTGGTTAATTTAGAATTCTGCTGATTTCACACCTGGTGTGCTGAGTTAAAGTGTGAAGGATGCTCCGAGTTTTCTGCAAACAAAAAGTATTGCATTTGTTAGAACAAGTAGAAACAACACAGTTAATCATTTTTATATATAACAATTTTTAATTCAAAGCACTTTAAAATAATAATTTCAGTTCAGAAGGTGGTGTAACTGAGGCACAAAAAGGGTAAATAATGTGCCAAAAGTCACATAGCAAGTCAGCATCAGACCTGGGAACCGAACTCAAATTCCTGACATGCTTCCCCACCTTCAATCCAACAGAACAAATTGTCCCTCACTGTATCTGGCAGACAAAAATACAATATATTCATTCCAAAATACTAGAATTAAGAACACAGCAGAGTGAACTGCCAATTGAAACTCAAATAGAATTCAGAGTACAACCTTTAAATAAAACAAAACAAAAACAAAACAAAAAGAACAGGGTCTTCGGCATCACAGGGATTAAGAAGCTGTGGTTTGCATATGTTGCCACTAGATGCTGCCATTCACAAAAGCTAATTGTAAGGATCCCAATTCTTTAACTAATAATGTTTAAGAGTCTCTCTGTAGAGTAACACACGATTCCTTTGACAGGCATTTGACAGAATTTAAAAAAACCCACAAGAATAAATTATTTTAATTGACCAGTCAACTTTCCTTTTTTTAATCTCTCATATTCTGAACTGTTCCTCATGAGGGATATATCCCTTATGTTAGACATTTACCCCCATCCTATGCAAACCCATTGTTCTTTCACTGTTATTACTATGAAGTACATCAGAATTTTACCCCATAAAGTTTAAACAAGAATCTAAGATTACAAAAAAAAAGTTCTTCCAAATAATTTCTTTCCTGGCATGCTCGGTATTAAACTTTATGCATTATTATTTTTGTATACCTCATTTAGTCATTGTCTCATATTTGGATGCAGAAGGTTGAGAGTCTGTTTTCCCATATGCTTAATTATGTTTCCATGAACTCAGAAGATTATGAGAACATGTTCCTGGTTGTGCCACTAGTTGTTTAGATCTCACAATTTCCCTGAGAATGATCTGATTAACATAATATGACTAAACAGAACAGTGGAACAAATAATTTGTTCCTTTAAGTAGTCAGCAATCATGCTTTTTAAAATGAAGCAGTAACTTAAATAAAGCAATTAATCTTTTTAAACTCACTATAAATCAATACTGACACTGAAGAAGAAAGAGAAAACAATCCATACCACCCTGGTCACTACAATTTATCCAATGAAGCCACGGTAAGTTGGGACATCTCCTGGCAGAGGTTTCCTGAGGGAGAAGCCAATAGCTCTTTTCCTCTCTAACCCAAGAATGGCTCTATTTTCTACAATCCGCATGACCGTTTGGACACACCTTCTGACTCTCTGATTTCTTGGGAAGCTGGAGATAGCTCCTGCATCACCTTTAGGCTGCTGTCATAGTAAGCATAGAATCCAAAAAGTATACTAGCAACAGTCAGTGCTCAGGGAATGTCTGGCATAATCCAGTCCCACAGGCACAGTGATTTGTCCAACATCATAAAGGAAGTCAGTTTAAGAACCAAAATCAGAACTAAGGTCTCGCATCTCCCAGTTCTATGACTTAAATGAGTGAATGTGTTTCCTTTCCCAGGTCTTATAGTTTCCAGAAAGTTCAAGAACAGATTATTCTCAGTTACACCACTATAAATCCTGAGTAATCTTGTTGATTTGTGAATTTACACTGGTGAGGAGAAAGCATAATTTGGTCCCATATCTTTCCTTGGTGTCACCTTGCTCATATTCTGATTAGGACTCATTATTTCAGGTCTCCGTAGGCACTTCAAACCACCAAGCATTTGGATAGGAAATGAACCATTCTACTTCTATGGAACACAAGAATTCTTAAACACATTTGATCATAGGCGTTGACAACACACAAAATTGTATCCCTATAACTACGTAGGTCAAGTAGGAGTGGCCAAATAGCGGCCCAGGGGTCGGATCCGGTCTGCCCTGGTTAGCCCCTGGTGGGCCCCTACTATTATATTTACCTGCACCCCCATAGGTATGGGCAATTGCAGCTCCTGTTGGCCACAGATAGCTGTTCCTGGCCAAAGGGAGTTGCAGAAAACGTTGTCCCAGTCTGTGCTGCATCCCACTTCTCCCATTGCATGGGAACGGTGATCTGCAGCCAACAGAAGCTGCAATTGCCTGTACCCGCAGAAGTGTACATACAGGCAGTCCCTGGGTTACGTACAAGATAGGGACTGTAGGTTTGTTCTTAGGTTGAATCTGTATGTAAGTCGGACCTGGCGTTAGCCGCTGCTGAAACTGATCAGTTTCAACCGCGGCTGAATCTGGACGCCAGTTCTGACTTACATACAGATTCAACTTAAGAACAAACCTACAGTCCCTATCTTGTACGTAACC